ACGGTTTTAAAAATTCTCTCTGAAGGTTGGAACTTAAAAATCAATAGATTTTCTTCAGACCAGCCTCTCAGACCAAGAACACTACAGTAAGGCACTTACTATAGCTTAAAATTTCAGATGAAAAGTTGATACTTTGTATACATTAAGGTTAGATATTAAATAATGGAAGCTACTGGAGGTAGATTAAAGCTTTCTATATCAGTAATAGAGGATTTTCTTGACCCTGTAATAAATTGGTGGATATATTTTCTTTGAAGTGGGAAAAAAGGCTGTGTAGCCATGTCTGAGAGCCAATTTACATATCTAGTACTTTAATAATCTCTTGGTAGTTATATAGCAGTTGAATTTCTGAGTTTAATTTTCTCAGTAAATTTCTAACATTAATTTCTTGGAAAATTTCCACAAAGTAAAAAAATTCAGTATCTTGTAATTCTATTATATACCCACACAAATGCAGTCAAATGGTTCATTTTTCTTCTAGTCTTTTTTTAATGTATAAGTATTATTTCACAGTTGAGATCATACTGCATATATGATACTGTATCTTCTCATTTTAATGTCGTGAACCTTTTCCTGTGGCATTAAAAATTGTCTTTGAAAAATCGATGTCTTTGAAAAATGAGCATTTTGGGCTGTTAGCATAATTGAAAATGTTTTCTTGGTGTGACATATGTATCTTTGTAATTGGTCTGATTTAGTGTGCTTTCAATAAAAATTCAGTATTACAATTTACAGTTTGGGGTGGGGAGTGGTATCTACTTCAAATTACCAGAATCTTCCCAGTGGAATTATTTTTTTAAATGAGTGAACTCTAAAACACTACACTACACGGACGTTACAGGAGCTTGGCACTGCAGAACACTGTACAGAGGAAATGCTACACAATCTGAATAGCACAGTTCATTTCCAAGGAAGAAAAATGCCAGGTTTTTTAGGGCTCCCAGGCAGGATGATACCGCTTTATTGCAGCTTGGGGGATTTCAGGTTCCCTTTCTTTTCTGGGACATAACACTGACTGAGCAGTCTGCAGAGAGCTCTGAACCTGTGCTGGTGGATCACCTGTGCTCGCACACCTCCAGGGCTTCACAGGGCCTCAGGCAATGAGATTGCCTGGGTGGACATTTGCTCTTTGTCTGTGTGTGACTTAACTGTATGCCGGGAAACCTAAGTTTCATGTCATTAATTCTGAAAACAGCATTTTCATATTACTCTAAGCATGAACTTGGTATGACAATAATAGCAATGTGCTACTTTTGATGATTTCCATGTAACTTGGATTCCTATAACCTGGTTTGTAAACTTGTTTTGGGAGTTTTCAACATATGATTGCATCATCCTAAGCTTTAAAAAAAATCTACTCCTGCACTAATCATTTTAAATGGATGCAGAAATTTAAAAACTGAGTTCATTTATGTTAAGCAATTGAGACTTTTCTGTTTAATCATGCGACCTGTTCTGCTTTTGTCAATGATATTCCCATAGTCCTTTTGAAAAAGTGTGTTTTGGGTAGAAATTAAGTTGTATGTCTTAAGGACGTACAGCTTAGTTTTTCAGTTCTGAAGCATGTTTTGATTTTCTGTACTGTATAGGCCTGATTGTGTTTATGTGGCTTAGCTAAGGTTTTCTAAAGCAGCTTCCAGTAGCTGTCACTGGTTTTTAAAAATAAAATTTGGGCTGTTTAAAATGCATTTTTTTTTTGCTTGTTAATCTTAATTTTTGTTTTTGACACTGTGAAACGTCTTTTTGGGGGATGATTAGTGAATCAAACTTTGAAAAGATTCTCAACAGTTGAGAATAGGTAATGTTGCACATTGTGACCTACACTGTTAAGTTGAAACTCTTAAGTCATGTACTCAGAAATTATGGGGAATTTTCAGGTTGGCCAAAGTGCTGTTGAATGTGTGTTCTTTTTTATGGAGAAGTTGAAACATGAAGAAACACTCCTGGATGTGACTAGTCCAGTCCTGATGGAGTGTTTTGTGTTAGTCTTTGGTGGTTGTCACTTCTTCCATAGAACATTCATGAGGGACATAGGGGTGGGGTTTGTCCATCTTTCTTCATATACAAAAAAAGATCCTGCATTTAGGAAAGTAGCCCAGTTTATTGCCCAGTTCTCAGATTTCTTAGTATAATTACCCTGGAACCTTTGCATTTTGGAGCAAGTGTGAAAATGATACTGTTGGTAGGGCAGTGTGGCTCTTTACTGGCTGAGTTTGAGACTATCCTGGGCTACAGAGCAGGACCCTGTGGGAAAAGGGAAAAAGGCCAGATGAGGTGGTACAGCACTGGAGAGGCAGAGGCAGAGGTTGGGGCAGGCCAGTTTCTGAGGATTGGGTTTCAGGCCCTCCAGGGCTACATAGTGAGACTCTGTCTCAACAAGCGCACACAAATAACGTGTGTATACCGGGTGGGGGTGGGGGGTGGGGGGTGGAGGAGTTACTGGTAAAGTATTGGATACCTTCTGGTAGGATGTTATAAGCTGTGATTAGGAGAGAAGGCACAGCTTTCCCTGTAAGAAGTTCATGGTCTACATGTAGACCTTAACCCCCCCCCCAACAACTTGGGAATAGTTGAATTTTATATGGGATGGTATTGATTTAAGTGACTAGCCATAGCATCCTGGGTTTATTTCCTGAAATGAACATCTAAGCACTGAATTTTAGTGGATTTTGAAATGTGTGGTAGGACTTTGAAGCATTGCTTTTCAGAATTCCATAAGTGCTATGTACCAGGTAGTGAGTATCCTTCAGATAGAGATGAAAAGACTTCATAGGAATAGATTGATTGTTATATATAGCCCAAGATGTTGGTTTCCTTGTCAAGGAAGTGGGGTTTCTCTTTGGGGAGGTAAGCTGTTCAGGAAGCACTTAGAAATAGGAATGGCCTTTCAAGTGCAAGGCAGGGATTGCAAGCTAGGGTGAGGGAGCCCACCCTGTGTACTACACCTGTCTAAGGAACACAAGAAAAGTCTACATAGGGTTGCTGAGGAAGCAGCTGGTAGGATGCAGAACAGGAAGCATTTCAAGTGTTAGGGAAGAGCCATCAAGAGGCTGAAAAGGAAAAATAGAATCAGTAATGACCTCAGGGGAGGGGTAAGGAAGGAGCCTTGTAGGCTTTGGGCAGCTTGGAACAGCAGAGTAAGCAAGCATTCAGAAAAGCACAGCCAGCCTTGGCTTCAAAAAGAACCACAAATCATTGATACTGGTGGTTTTATAGTTAAGTCTTAGGGTAGGGTAAAGAGGGCAGGGCAAATGGCTATCATATGAGGTCTAAGGCAGGCCAGATCTAGACCCTAAAACAGCTTAGGCTTGGGGGGTGGGAGGGAGTGGATTTTTGAGACAGGATCGACCCAGAGTGACCTGGAACTTGATGGGAATCCTCCATTCTTGGCCTCCCAATAGTTTAGGCTATATGAAGAGGCAGTATAATAGCAGTGCATTGGAGTATAGATTTCTTTAAAATCTCTTGCTTACTATGTGTTGACTTTGGGGGGTGATTACTTAACCTCATTAGTCTTGGCTTGTAGAACAGAGTAGCATAGAAGTATAGCAAGAGTAAAGAGTACTTAGTACAGTGCCTGACCTGGGAAGTACTCCAGCATCAATGCTTTTTCCTTTTTTTTTTTTTTCTCCCTTTTTTAAACCAGGTAGGTGCTAGCCTTTGAAAGGTGGAGGGTAAAGAGGGACATTTTGATTTCCTGAGACCACCATTGGGAAAAGGGTTAATCCCTCAGGGTAGAGTAGTAAGGGGCGTGGTTGGATGAGTGTAGAAAGGGATAGTGGGTGGTGCTTGGAAGAGGGTGTTCCCAGGGGTTTAACCAGGGATATGTTCTGCAGGACACTGACAACCCCCAGAAGCTGGCAGGTCAGGGCTGTGGGTGGAGAATTTTGTCCACAAGGAGTATTTTAGAGTAATAGCAATGTGAAGGGTATTTGATTTGATTTGATGTGGTAGATGTACAGAGCTCAAAATAAGAAGGAATGTGGCCCTACCAAGTCAAACCTTAAGTTCCTTTTAAAATTGAAGGTAGAATTCTTACGCTTTAGAAACATGGGTATGCTAGATAGGCTATTTAGTCAGGCGATAGTGAAATCCTAGATCAGGCTAGAATAGTCTAGGAAGAAATCCATGAGATGGAAAAATCCATTGCTAATGTTAGTATTTGAAATTTAATGTTACAGTATGTGTCATGGCCTGACAGGCCTTTTCACAGCCTTATCCTGAACATTTGGGGGTGGTATGTAAGTTGAGCTCCTTAACTGTTGAAGATTCTAAGCGGCAAGGGCTCAACAGTGAGTGCTGGGCATATGCTAGAAAGTGAAGCAGATTCATTACTCCCGGATTTCCCTTCTCTGAAGGACTAGAGATAGTATTGACTCACACTATTGAGCTATCAGTAAGATGTCCACCAGATACAGTCCAGACCTGGGGTGATGCTTTTGCCCAGGGCATATCCACTGAGTACTCATTGTCCAGCATGATTTTTAACAATGACTTTCAGGCTTGACAATGGAGTGTTTGGGGTGATAGGTTATATGACTATCTTATCTACAAGCGTACTCAGGCCTAAAAATATTTTCTTGCCTTCCCTACATATATTACATACAGACACACATTAGAGAGATCTGTTAGGAATGGTGACTTTGCATAAAACAAAATGCCCTGCTTCAAGCAAGTGCCATCGGTCCTCATCTGTAAGTTGTGTATAACTTGCCTGCTAGAGTAGATGGGAAAATCTTGTGGTGTCTTTGTACTCCTAGCACAGTGCTTGACACATTAAGCTTTCCATAATTGCTAGTTGCCAATATTGTGGATATTGGTAGTATTGCTGATGAAACAAAGCTAAATGATTAAAATAAAACCTATCTACTCACTGGTGACCCCTTACAAAGGAAACTGGCAGACATCTTTGACTCTGTGGCAACATGGAAAGTAAAGTGGGTTGCTTTCAAAAGGGTTGAATAATCGAGCAACTCTAAAACCTCTTTTCTTCTTCCTAGGTCTTAGTGGTGCAATGGCTAGTATAAGCGTGCGTTCGAGTACCCCAGGCTCTCCTACACATGTAAGCAGTGGATCGAATGCTAGTCGAAGGAGAAATGGACTCCATGATGTCGATTTGAACACTTTCATATCAGAAGAAATGGCACTCCACTTGGACAATGGTGGAACTAGAAAGCGTACCTCAGCCCAGTGTGGCGATGTCATTACAGACTCACCAACCCATAAACGCAACAGAATGCTCTAAACTGCAGACATTTTCACACCCACCATGCTGCTTGAAAGCCACTCGATCCTCAACATATACTATTATTGCAAAGGAAACATGAGGCCATCTTCCCTTGTTCACTGTTTAAGACAAGTGAATTCTCTAGTGGTTGCCATAAAAGGAAGTTCTAGGTATTTCAGTAGATGCCTCTTGTAACAATGGCTTTCTCAAACTATAATCCTAGCAGAGGACATCAGATATTGTGTAGTCATTAGCGAGATCATCATAGGCAAACATATCCGTTCCAAGGCTAAAAGTGACCTTAACTGTATTTATTCTCAAAGGGAAAGGAAATAGATGTTTATTTGGTTATAGACTGCTTTTCTTATTTTTTGGTCCATTTCCTGCTGTGTTGAGTATTTTTGCTTCAACAGTATTGCCAGGTTCCTATAATTGTCTTAAAACCATGATTTGGCTTGTGAGCCAAATCTGTAGGCTTCCATTTTTTGCAGCCACACTGAACCATGCACCTGGTTTCCATACAGAGACAACTGTAAACTTCTGATTATCAGACTGTACCCTGTTTTCAGTTTTCAAAGCAGTTTCTAATTCTGGTGATTGTGGTGTAAAGAGGTGCTATGATGGTCATGCAATTAATACTTAATATTGAATCAGTACACAAAACTATTGGATTTACTTTGTGTGTGTTAGTTACTCTAAAAACAGCAATATTATTAAACTGCCCCCAGATTAATAACCTTGTAGGCTTCAAATACTCAGTTTTTAAAACAAGTACTACTTCCTATGCCGGGTACTTTACTTATGGTAATGTAAACACACAGACTGCATTCAAGGTGACCTGAAAGACAGGTCATGAGCTTTGAGAGTGGGCTTCCTTTTTGGCTTAGTATTAGTGAGAGGAAATGGATGATGGGAGTAGGTAATTACATTCTTTCATATCTTGTTTTGCATTTGTCATAGTGGGTGGAAGATGATAAATGTTTTATCTACTAATATGATCACAAATAGCGAAACCCAACTCTCCATTTCCTCTCCTCAGAAGTGCAGTTTGGTATCTCATTCTGGAAAAGATGAAATCGCATGGAGGTTCTCTAGATGTTAGGTAGACCCAAATAAAGTTCTCCTTAGAGTCCTCTTTGGGTAAATGTAAGACCTCTTGTAGCTACAACGTTTTAGAGCATGTTTCATCTTCATTTTTACTACCTTGAACTGAATGATAGTCTTTTTAGACAAAGAACTGATGTCAGCCTGCCAGGTACTGTAATTTATTCTATTATATTATAAATATATCAAGTAGGACAGTGAAAAATGTTTCCTTGCAAACTTGTAGTCCAGTATCAGTTACTTCTATTTTTAATCCTTTAATGACCATTGCAAATCAGTGTAAGGGTTTTTCCAGTAATTACAGCACTTTGTTAAAAATTTGCAATTTCTTCAGCCATTTAAATAATACCTTTCTGTGAAGAAACCTTGCTACATTATTGACTGGGTGGGATGTGAATGGAATGTTAGAAATGTTGTGTGAATTGAAGTTCTGTATTCATTATAGATATAGCCCTTATTTAAAACAGTGAAATCCATACTCAAACTAGGAATGAAAGTGAGGTATTTCTAAATTTTTGCAAAAGTGGAGCTTTTTTTTTTTTGAATAGCAGGAAGAATTATAGCAATCTGTCATCTTACCTGAAATGGACAAGCCTATGTATTATGAATACGTATAGGCTTCCCTTTGGAGTATACCAAGAAATGGAGTTAGTTTTGTTTTTCTATCATTGTAAATTTAGATTCTGGAATTGGGGTTTGGTGGTGCGAAGGCTGTTCACCAGAAGCCTGAACTCTGATCCCAGAACTACAGGATTTTGAGACTGAGGAATACATATTTAAGCTTCCCTTCCTGCCTTGGTTCTGTTTCCCCTTTCCAAGTTGAATAACAATATTTTTGGTTGCTTTAAGTTGGTGCTCTGAAGCTTAATCTTAATACCCTTTACTCTCAATTGTCAAATTTTGATAAAGCGTGCCATTTTCTTTGGTAAGAGAAAGCAGGTCTTAATGTCTGCCAGAACTCAATTTATATGCCTAATTATTGGCTCCATTAAACTTTTTTAAAACTTTAGCATTGTTACTTCTTTTCCGTTGCATTTGATATCTAGTGCTCCTTGTCACCTCATTATTACCTTCCTTCCCTCCCTCCCCTGTCTCATTGCTCCCAGGTGTCACCAGCACAGAACAGTCCTGAGACCTGCCATTATGAAGGGAGGTAGTTTCTATTCTTCAGAAAACTTAGTTTTGACCTAATTCAAGATCTTTGGAAGTTTTCATTTGCCAGTTTAGATGCAAAATATCATGGAAGATCCCATACTTGTGTGTTTTTTTTTTTTTTTTTTTAAATAACATTGACCTTTTCAGCTTT